ACACCTGCCGGAAGGAAAAAGGTCAGGGCCTGATGAGTGTCAAGGCCACAGTCCTGGATGAAACACAGAACATCCACAAGTACATCACGAAGATGGCTCCCAAAGATGGACTTCAATGGGAATGCCTGAGACTTCCACAGATCGAGGATGCAGAAAAAGAGGAGGTTCCTTGGCAAAACAAACCTCTCCATGGGGTGTACCACTGGCAGATAGTGGATGCGGCTCACCTGACAAAATTCTACCAGTGGTTGGAAAAGGCAGGACTGAAAGACAGCACTAAGACACTAATCCTAGCAGCACAGGAGCAGGCACTTAGCACCAGATCAATAGAAGCTGGAGGCAAGACCCAAGGTGCAGACTATGCAAAGAGGCCTCTGAGACAGTCCAGCACCTAGTAGTCGGATTCAAGATGTTAGCAGGAACAGCATACACAGAGATACACAACCAAGTTGCTGGGATTGTGTACTGAAACATCGGCACAGAATATGGATTGGACCTGCCTAAATCCAGATGGGAGATACCACAATGGGTCGTTGAGAATGACAGGGCTAAGATCCTGTGGGACTTCAAGACAGACAAGCAAGTGCTGGCCAACCAACCAGACATCGTGGTGGTAGACAAGGAACGAAAGACTGCAGTCGTGGTGTATGTGGCAATACCCAGTGACTACAACATCAGGAAGAAGGAACATGAGAAGGTGGACAAATACCAAGAACTGAAAGAAGAATGAGAAAGGATGTGGAAAGGCAGTAGTAGCCCCAGTTGTGATAGGAGCACTCGGAGCTGTGACTCCCAAGTTGGAAGGGTGAGAAATTCAATTTTTTATATATATATATATATATATATATATACACATACATGCATATATATATATATATATATATATATATATATATACACATACACACACACACACACACAAACACTACTGTGGAACAATGACTTATATGGTTGGAATATATATTTCATATATATATATGATTTATGCTTATGAATTAGAATTACTCAATCTGGGGTAGCAAGACGTAGCCATTTTTAAAACACTATCGCTAAAAGATATATAAATATATATATATATATATTTATTTTTTTTATTATTATTGGTATGTTCCTTTTTTAATTGTAAATAATAGTCCTTTCAGGGTAAAAAAACAATCTCACTGGCACACACACAAACGTAGTACAGACAAACTCTCTAACACACACAAGCTTACTACAGTCAAACTCACTGGTATACACAAAGATGCTTACTACAGACAAGCTCACTGACACACACCTCACTACAGACAAGCTCACTGACACACATACATGCTTACTACAGACATGCTCACTGACACACACATACATGCTTAATACAGATATTCTCACTGACACACACACACACATAAATGCTTAATACAGACATGCTCAGTGGCACACACATAAATGCTTAATACACACATGCTTACTACCGACATGCTCATTGCTGACATGTTTACTGACACACACACACTCACTGCAGCTTGAGATCAGGGTGGGGCTTGGGTGCCAGAAAGCTCCCTCCTTATCAGGGCCGGACTGGGACCTAAAATCAGCCCTGGAAAAAAATTCTATACCAGCCCAATAATGCTTCGCGCCAGCATAGTGTGCTGATATAGAGGGTGAAAAAATAACTTGAAATTGAAAACTCTTACTCCAACGAAGGAACGCATATAGGGCTTCAAAATAAACAAAAGAGCGCCTTTATTTTAAGTAGACGTACATTTGCATGTAATGTTTCAGTACAACTACTTTGGCCTATTAAGGACATTTTAGTAATGGTACTGAAATGCTGAATGTCTGCAGTTGCACAACTAAAAAATGAAGTGATCTTGTTTATTTTGAAGTTCTATGGGTGCGCTCTTCACTTTGAATATGTTATTGTGCATGAGTATGCAACTAGCAACAAGACAGGGCCAATACGTGCTCATTATATATAATGACATATTTAATGACATTTATGTGTGTATTATGCATAAATAAATGTATATTACGATATGTGTAAATATTATAGGCATAATTATATGTTACTAATACACACATCAATATACATGCATATATATATATATATATGTGTGTATTACTGTCAGGATCACATCAATTTATGTCTATTACCTTTACCTCGTTTAGTGTATCTTGTCTCCAATTGTCTCCTTTTTTTCTCTTACAGCGACCTTGTGCATCTTTTACTTCATCCCAGTCCCTGTGTGTTTCTTTTTACCCTTCTCCAGCCTCTGTATTTCTCTTTCCCCAGCCCCTTTTGTGTTGTTCTTAGCCCCAGCCACTTTGTCTCTTTCTCCCCTTCCAAATCTCATCTGTGTGTCTCTTTCTAACTCCAGACTCCGTGTGCCTCTTTCTCTTCTCCCAGTCACTCTCTGTCTCTTTTTCCTCAGCCCAGCGTTGCCTCCCACAAATCTTGTGTCACTTTGTTCCCCTTCCCTACTGCATGTCTCTTTGTCCCCCCAACAAACCTTCCGTGTGTCTCTCTTCCCCAACTCCTCCCTGTGTCTCTCTCTTACCCCTCTGTCTCTGTGTCCCCCCTTCTCCTGTGTCTCTCTATTACCCCTCTCATTGTGCCCCCAACCTCCTATTACCCCTCTGTCTCTTTGTCCCCCCCTTTCCCTGGTGTCTCTCTATTACCCCTCTATTTGTCCCCCCATTCCCCTCTATTTGTCTCCCTCCATTCCCCTCTATTTGTCTCCCTCCATTCCCCTCTATTTGTCCCCCATTCCCCTCTATTTGTCTCCCCCATTCCCCTCTATTTGTCTCCCCCTTCCCCTCTATTTGTCTCCCCCTTCCCCTCTATTTGTCTCCCGCTTCCCCTCTATTTGTCCCCCCCATTCCCCTCTTTGTCTCCCCTCGGCTTCCCTGTATTTGTCCCCCATTTCCCCTCTTTGTCTCCTCCTTCCCCCTCCTGTTTGTCTCCCCCTCTATTTGTCCCCCCTTCCCTCTTTGTCCCCCCCTTCCCCTCTATTTTAGTTCCTCTATTTGTCCCCCTTCCTCTTTGTCTCCCCTTCCCTCTATTTTGCTCCCCCCTTCCCCTCTTCTTTCCCCCCCCATTCCTCTTTGTCTCCCCTCCTTCCCTCTGTTTGTCTCCCCATCCCTCTATTTGTCTCCCCCATCCCTCTTTTTGTCTCCCCCCCTCCCTTCCCCTTCTGTGTGCCTGCTTACCTTGTCACAGGAGGACTGGGGGGGGGCGGAGCTAGCTAGTAGCTACCATGTTCCCTCGCGGTTTCCATAATTCCCAGCATCTACACATCATACAGTAATCCCTACTCTATGATGTGTAGATGCTGGGAATTCTGGGAACCGCGAGGGAGCATGGTAGCTACTAGCTAGCTCCGCCCCCTCCCTCAGACCTCCAGTGCTGCGGCTGTCAGTATCAGTGAGTGTGCCGCTGGATCGCTTAGGCGGCCGCCTGGCACACTCACTGATCCTGACAGGTGTCAGCACAGGAGATGGGGCCGCCAGCCGCAAGGTGAGTATTCACCTCAGAGTGTGCCGCCGGACCGGCCACCCGGCGGCACCGACATGCGGCCGGCGGCCGCGATATTATTAAAGTAAAGGGAGGCTCCCTCTCTCTCTCTCCGGCCCCCCAGGTGCCGCGGCCCACCGGGAAATTTCCCGGTATCCCGGTGGGCCAGTCCGGCCCTGCATGTCATGGTGGAACCTACTCTGTCTGTGGAGACTAGAAATTGTTCTGAACATGACAAGCTTCTAGAGTATTTTTGTGAAAGTGACCAGAGCTCAATTTGTGTGACGTGTTACATTGCTGGCTCTCACAAGGGTCACACCATCCTGACACTGAAGGAGGCTTGGGCCAAACAAAATGTAGTATTGTCAGAGACAATCAGCACTCTGCAGAAAAGTGAGGTAGACCTCTGCAAAGACATAGAGGAGCTCCAAGAGGCCTTGGTAAAGTTAAAGGTGAATTCAGAAAATCTCACTACATCTCTCAAAGATTTAGCTGCAAATATTATCTCGAAAGTTCAAAATCAGTGGCAGTGCATTCTGGACACTATAGTTTCTAATGAGAAAAAAATTACTTCATATATAACAGTTTTCACAAAGGAAAGGGAGGAAGAACGAGCCAAAGCTCTAAAAACCATTCAAGAGCTAGAGTCAGTGAAGGACCAACCAGACGAGCTGCTTTTCATTAAAAACGTTACTACTTTGCTAGAGCAGGTCAAAAACCAAGATATGAAGATTAAAACAGGGCAGGTTCGAGATGTAAAAATTGATGCCCATACTGTTAAAATGATAGAAAATAAAACTGATAGCTACATAAATCACATAAATTGTCTTCTTCAGACTGTTCAAAATGCTTTTGCTACTCAAGCACAGTCAATGGAAAGATATATTGTCAGGAGACTTCGTTCAGTGTATCTCAACTAACACGTTATATGAGGAGGCAGGGCGTGAATTCCTTCACACGTTTTAAGTTTGTGTATAATTACTAGTAAATAAACATTTGCAGGAGGAGCGGAGCTTGAATCCCATGACACATTAGCAGAGGGGTCAGGGCTTGAATGTAATGCTGAGTGGTCGTGTTTTGACAAATCGTCATGAGAATAACTGACTTTATGCATGTAAGCTGCCTTAACTTGCACGCTTAAAGGCACTATAATGACTGCTGTCACTTTGGGTCCTTGAGGACTCATAAGATTAACTATTGGAATCTTTACCAACCATATTTAGTAGCAGCTCCTTGCCGCACATTTGAGTCCTATCTGTGTCCTGCAAGGTGGTTCGGACATGCGGGAAGCGGACAATCCCTCTGCCTGGATTTTCTTGATTGCTGCTGCTGCTTTGATACCAGCTCCCTCCCTGCCGGTGAAGGAGCTGGTATCAAAGCAGCAGCAACAATCAAGAAAATCCAGGCAGAGGGATTGTCCGCTTCCCGCATGTCCGAACCACCTTGGATTCTTACCGGTGGTGTTGCAGAGTCCCTATCAACTCTTGAGCATGTGGTGTAACAAACTCGCCAAGATGGCGGACGTCTTGTGCTTCTCCTGAACTGTTGGCTTACTACTTTCTACTCTATTCAGGCCTGATGTGCTATTTGCTGCCTTTTGGCTAAGGCTCAATGGTGGCCAGCATCAACAGAGATACCCAGACTCAGGCATTCAACAGCCTTCAGCCTATGCGGAGCCCAGTTACACTTGCAGGAAGGAAGGCCTATGCTGCTCCATGTGTGCCACAGACATCAAAGGACCCACTGTGGACTGTTTCTAGGAAGAAGCCTTTACCCTTAACCAGACATTGGTCTTCAAGAGACAATGTTGTATTGTCAGAGACAATCAGTACTTTACAGAAAAGTGAGGTAGCCCACTGCAAAGAAACGGAGGAGCTCCAAGAGGCCTTGATAAAGTTAAAGGAGACTCAGAAAATCTTAATACATCTCTCAAAGATCTAGTGGCAAATGTTATCTCCCCTGTGTACTGCCTACGCTCTTCTACTAGTCATGGGAGTAGAATAGGATATCCGCATTGCTTGGAAAAACACCACTTCGAAACCCTTTATTTCAGCTGTTGCTGGGTGATAGTTCCACACTACAGAATAGACTGGACTTGTTGGTGTAGTGCTATTATCAGTCTTGCTATCTGAGAGCTGACCTGTGGTTTACCTCACTTGCCTGAGATGGATCCCCAGTGGTAGTTCTTCTTTAGCCTTCCCTGTTAACCTCAGGTCCGGTCCTCTTCGTGAGGTGTTGGCTGACCGATCTAGCCGGCGAGGTGTTTGCTGACTAATTTAGCTTACTAGAAATGTTCGCCTTCATTCTTATTGAAGAGTCTGCTATTTATTACCTATGCTAAGCACTGGTTAATATATATCAACTAGTATATAGTGTGTGTGTGCATATGTATGTTTGCATGTGTGTGTGTATACGTATATATATATATACATATATATATAAAAAAAATATGTCAAACCCCTGCACTCCAATATAAAAATATATTTTACCTGGTGCTCTGGTAGCTCAATTGTAGAAAGTGGAAAGACCGGCACTCAAGGAGTTTTAACAGCTTTTACTGTGTAAAAATAAATCAACGTTTCAGCTCCACTAGGGAGCTTTCATCAGGTATGTCCTGATGAAAGCTCCCTAGTGGAGCTGAAACGTTGATTTATTTTTACACAGTAAAAGCTGTTAAAACTCCTTGAGTGCCGGTCTTTCCACTTTCTATATATATATATATATATATATATACATACACACACATACACAATAACTGAGTTATGATCAGACCATCCAAAAGATCTAATGTCTATACTTTGACAATCTTTCACTGCTATATCTGTTGTTAAAACCATATCCAAACGGCAGTATGACTGATATTGTTGAGAAAAGTATGTATAGTCAAATTCCATATGTCTCACCATATGCCAGATGTCCTAAAGCTTAAATTTGGCCAATGTTTCTTGAAACATCCTTACTAACACTCTAAAACAGGATTTCCCAAAGTGTGTTGGGCCGCTAGGTGCAGACCGCGTGATAGAGGTCTCGCGAGCACCCAGAGCATTACCATGGCAACACTCTGGGTGCTAGCGGGACTTCTATCACATGCTTTGCACCTGGTGGAGCTGCAGACTGGAGGGGTAACCCACTGGACCACCAGGAAATTTATTATATTGAAAACAAAGGTAGGACACAGTCCACCACACTCTGCCATTCCCTGTCCCCCCTCCCCACACTGTAACCCTTGTGTATCGCTGTGTCAGTGTGTATATTTGTGTGTCTGTGTGTGTGTTTCTGTATGTGTGTATGTGTATACACTGCACACAAATGCACACCTGCATTAAAACAACAACATTCACACACATACTCTATACAAAAACATGCTTACATTCAAACACATTGTGTATATGTATATTTTCTATACACAATATACACACACTGCATCCACCACACAAGCTCAAGCATTACAAACACACCCTTTTATTACAACACTAAAATTATATACAAATACCCCTTCATTCAAACACCAACACTACACACAAAAAGCACACCTGCATTTAAAGTCCAGCACTACATTCAAACACCCCTGCATTCAGATGCAAACATTACAAACAAGTACACCACTACATTCCAATAGCAACAGTACATACAAAAACACCCATACATGCACACATATATTTAATACAAAAACATGCTTACATCCAAATACTCAAACACTGCTCACAAATATAACCCTGCAACAATGGGCAAATTGTAGATCCCCAGCTGGCACAGCATTGTTGAAGTTCTCCGACAGATGGGGATCTACCTTTTGGCCACACTTGCACAAGAGGGGGCCCAGAAAACATACTTGCACCAGGGTCCTCTCTACATTAGTTCCACCACTGGGATTATCAACGTAAGGTGTCTGAATGAGCAGGACACAGCACTTCTGATTCTGACTGAGTCTGTGAGTAAGCAGTTGTATGCCTCTAAAACTGATTGCCATGATACCCAAAATTATGCCACTTAAACTGCAATGATATGCCAAGTTTCTGCCTCTAAAACTGCCATGTGCCAAAATTATGCCTCTAAAACTGCCATGATATGCCAAATTATGCCTCTAAAACTGCCATGATATGCCAATGTTATGCATCTAAAACTGATTGCCATGGTGTGCCAATTGTATGCATCTAAACCTGATTGCCTTGGTGTGCTAATTTTATGCATCTAAAGCAGCCATGATGTTCCAATTGTATGCCTCTAAAGCTGATTGCCATGGTGTGCCAATTGTATGCCTCTAAAGCTGATTGCCATGGTGTGCCAATTGTATGCCTCTAAAGCTGATTGCCATGGTGTGCCAATTGTATGCCTTTAAAGCTGATTGCCATGGTGTGCCAATTGTATGCCTCTAAAACAGATTGCCATGGTGTGCCAATTGTATGCCTCTAAAGCGGATTGCCATGGTGTGCCAATTGTATGCCTCTAAAGCGGATTGCCATGGTGTGCCACTTGTATGCCTCTAAAGCGGATTGCCATGGTGTTAATTTTTCTAAATATGCATTAAAAGCAAGTGAGTCTCCAAAAATTACCATTTTCAAAAGTTTGGGAAGCCCTGCTCTAAAAGATGAAATTGTAATTTTCCCACTTTTGTGCCATCCTTTCCATGTCAACGTCTGCAATACAATTAAAGTCGCCCATGCAAAAGAAGGTTCCCTGAATAAAATAATTCACTTTAAATAAAAACCAGTTTAAAATATAAATCTGCCTATTATTTAAAAACATTTTTTAATCATTTAATTTGCAAATTAGAAAGAGTTACCTTCTAGTTTATATATCGCCTCGTATTTCACATCTTTTATAATCAGAATCATGACAGCCCTTTTTTTTTTTTTTAATCTGGTAAAGAAGCATGTATTAGTGTAGGGTAGAATGTGTTTTTTTTTAATTGAAAGGCGTATGCGTCTGTCTTTATACAGTGAGTTTCTTGTAAACAACAGCAGTCTATTTTTTCTTTTTTCAACATTTAAATAAGAGCCAATCTTTTCTGTAAGAAGTTAATGCCTTGAATATTTAAAGTAAAAATGGTATACTATCTCTGGTCATGTAATATCTTCGAAAAAATCTCTGTTGTGTAGGTCCTCATCCCAAGTCTCACAAAACATATTTTACCCAATCCTCCATTCCCATTCCATTCCTTTTCTTATTCCTGCGATTACCTAACCTTTTCTTAGTTTCTTTCTTTTTTCTCTCCTATCCTTTTTTTTTTAACAGATTTTTTCTATTGAAAGTATATTTATTAATTCAAAGTTAATGTGACAGTAGTGTAATTCTTTCACTGTATATATCTTTTTGTGCGGTGCTTCTTGAATACATCTTATTGCAATCCTACAAAAAGCTAATAATCAAAGTTCATAGGTACATAGAAATATATGTATAAGGAATAAAGGGTTGCGCCTGTATATCAAAAAAGAATATATCAATCGAAACATAGTGTGATATTGCAATACAAAGTCAATTGACACGCTTGTTATAGATTGCACTCACAAGATTACCTAGAGAACCTGTTCGTAAAAAGCTAAGTTAATTTCTTATTGTTTTGGTCACTTAATGTCTTAATAAGGATGATTTGTTGTAGTTTTATATCATAGGTACATAGGCCTAGAGGTACAATTATAATAAAAAAAATTAAACATTATGCATCATTTTGGTACAGTGCTTACGTAATTTGTTTTTTTTTTATCTGTTGTCTTAGTGTAAATACTTATTTAGTGCTTCTTTAATTCTATGAAAATAGTTATCAGTGATAACCAAAAATTGCATTTACAATAAAATTACCTATCATGCAATATTTAATACAGTGCTTGTAGACCTATTTTCAAATTATAATTGACATTTTTATGTAAAATTGACTCTGCAATAAAAAAAATTTGATACTGGAAAAAATAATTGTCCTCTTTTGATTCTATTAATTTCTTAATTTAAGCTGGACTCAAGTATGTTTTAACTAATTTTCTGGCTTCATCTGTACTAATATAATATTGTTTTGTCTTTGTGTTTAACATAAAAATTTTCACAGGATAGCCCCAGTTATATCTTATTTAATTTTCTCTTAGGATATCTGAGAAAAACATAAATGATCTTCTTTTAGCTCTGGTTTCAGTCGACAAGTCTTGAAAGAAAATTAGATTCTTAAATTTCTCATCTTCTAAAGCAGGGGTTCTCAACGTTAGTCCTCAGGACCCCCTACCAGTCCAGGGTTTAGGGATTACCTGGGTGTGTCTAAGGTGTTTTGAAAAAGAAAGAAAAAACACCTTAGAGTCTAAGGTGTTTTTTCCCGTTTTTTTAAACACCTGAGACACACCCAGGTAATCCCCAAATCCTGGACTGGTAGGGGGTCCTGAGGACTGGGTTGAGAACCCCTGTTCTAAAGAGAACTATTTTGTTGCTGAGATTTTCTGCCTAATAATTAAGTTGAAAATCAAAAATTTAATATGTTCTTTGGCTAATTAAGTCAAAGGCTCTTTCAAAAATATTTTTATTCTGAGCTTCTTGAATACCCATGGCTCTAAAAATATCCAGTAAGTAAGGAATAATTTGAGCAGAATTGATATTTTCAGCAATCCATTTTATGCATAGGTTTTGTCTATAAGAACAGTCTTAACCCCTTAAGGACGGAGCCAAATGTACATGTTGTGAACAAAACAAAATGTAAACAAAACCTGGCATTTGCGCTACATGTCTGTCCAACCGTAATACACCTCTATCATAGTAAATGCACCCACCCTTATTATATATCATTTTATTCAGGGGAAACAGGGCTTTCATTTAATATCAAATATTTAGCTATGAAACATAATTTAATATGAAAAAAATGGGAGAAAATAAGAATTTTAATTTTTTTTAGTTCTACATGACATTTTAACTGTCAATGTCATAATACTATTTGCTTTTACTGCAATAAAATACACATATTTGTATTCAGCAAAGTCTCACGTGTAAAACAGTACCCCCTATGTACAGGTTTTATGGCGTTTTGGGAAGTTACAGGGTCAAATATAGCAAATATAGCCAGATTGGTTACGTTGCCTTTGGGACTTTATAGTAGCCAGGAATGAAATTTACACCCATAATGGCATACCATTTGCAATAGTAGACAACCCAAGGTATTGCAAATGGGGTATGTCCAGTTTTTTTTAGTAGCCATTTGGTCACAAACACTGGCCAAAGTTAGCGTTAGTATTTGTTTGTGTGTGAAAAATGCAAAAAACGCCAATTTTGGCCAGTGTTTGTGACTAAGTGGCTACTAAAAAAGACTGGACATACCCGTTTGCAATACCTTGGGTTGTCTACTATTGCAAATGGTATGCCATCATAGGGGTAATTTTCATTCTTGGGCTACCATAGGGTCTCAAAGGCAACGTAACCAATCTGGCGAATTTTAATGTGAAAAAAATGAAACTCAAGCCTTATATTTGACGCTGTAACTTTTGAAAACACCATAAAACCTGTACATGAGGGGTACTGTTGTACTCGGGAGACTTCGCTGAACACAAATATTTGTGTTTCAAAACAGTAAAAAGTATCATAGCAATAATATTGTCCGTGTAATGCTGTTTGTGCATGAAAAATGCAAAAAACGTCACTTTTACTGGCGATATCATCGTTGTAATACATTTTACTGTTTTGAAACACTAATATTTGTGTTCAGCGAAGTCTCCCGAGTAGAACAGTACCCCCCATGTACAGGTTTTATGGTGTCTTGGAAAGTTATAGGGTTAAATATAGTGCTAGCCAATTAAATTCCCTTTACTTTCGGCATGGGTTGTCAGGCAGGTCCCTCTAATTGTAATTAATTAAGATACCTAATAATGTAAAAATATTACATAAATATATATGTAGAATTAATATATATATATATATATATATATATACGTATGTGAATCTGTATGTGTATATCTATATTTTTTTTTAAATATTTTTATTTATATATAGTTATATATATAGTGATATATACGTATATATTTAAGTATATATATATTATTTCGTTCTACGTGTATTTTGATATAAATATATATATATTAATATCGCAATACAGTTAGAACGAAATAACACAGATCTATATATTTTTTAATTATTTTTATTTATTTTTTAACGTATTTACATATTTAATTTTTTTATATATATAAATATATATATAACAATAATTATATATATATTTAATCAGTGTCAGTCTACGTGTAATTTGATATTAATATATATATAATTATATATATATTAATAGTAAAATACACCTAGACGGTGTACGTGTGTGTATGTATATGTGATCGAAGTATATATATTTTTGTTTTTACACTAATACATTTTATTTTAATTTTATTTTCAGCCAGCAGGGGGACCACCTGTCATTACAGGCAGCCCCCTTGCTGACAATGCAGGAGGCAGCCTCGCAAGGACCCCACTCTCACATGGCCGGGGGGCACTGGAGGAGGAGGATCTACCGCGGGGGTGCTCCCTGGGACCGCCGGCGACCGGGTCAGTAGGCAAAAACCGGAGGGCGTACAATTTTTAGATCCACATATACTTTTAACATTGAACAGATAAGAAATATAAACAAGCACAATTATAGGTGCATTTTATACTGAGATATGTTGACAGGGATCTCTTAAAGGAACACTATAGTCACCTAAATTACATTAGCTAAATAAAGCAGTTTTAGTGTATAGATCATTCCCCTGCAATTTCACTGATCAATTCACTGTCATTTAGGAGTTAAAGGAGGTGTGACTAGGGTTCGTATCCGAAATCTTATACGGCAGTGATTGTAGACTCTTTTCAACCAGAGTATTTATCTCCTATTTAATTTCTTTCTCGCTTTCCTTTCCCCTTTATTCAGCTTTAGTACTATTGGAGCTTTTTTCAAGAATCTTATAAAATATATATTTAGCTTATTTTTCTAAAATACTAGTAGTTATCAGGTGAGGCCAGTCCCAACTTGTATGCTGTGGAGATTGATGTGTAAATCCATAATAGTTTAATTTGCTCAATAGTGATAAATCATTCTTAATTAATATGGAATATTATTATCACATTCCATCCCTTGATCACTCAGTGAGCAAAATCTTACACATTTACACATACCATTCAGGTTATCAGCAGGGGGAAAGCCCACTTACCCACTGATTCCCATATTGCTCCATTCACACCTGGAACCAATGCAAGCAATAAAGCTTGAGGGTCACCTAAGTTAGACAATTTTAAACAGGATAAACCTGTAAGTAACTCAAAAAGAAAAAACAGAGCCTAGATAAGGATATGAGACAAAGTAGTGGTAGGAAAAAATGGGGGATAACCCCTAAATTGCTAACTGATGTAAATCAAAAAGAAAAAAGCTACCTGTAAGTGTCTCAACATCATGATCGATATTGTCACAGTTGAAATGAACATTAAGACATAACTTTTAATAGATATACTATAAAATGAAAATACATAAAAGATAAAAACAAAAAGCACAAGGCTAAATCTATGTCCTGTGATCTGACTCAGGCACTCCACCCTCCAATAAGAAATGTAGCAAGAAGAGTATCAGTAAGAAAAAATAGGATACGTTATAATTCAAAATATGACACTTGTTATAGAAAATGTAACCGAAATGATAAAGGGGAGTGCAGAGTGCATCTATCCTAGAGACTCTCCTGCAGCAAAGAGTCTACTGGATATAGGAGAAATGCCTCTTGTGCTCCAGTAGTTACTAGACAACACACCAGTGTGGTTGTAAAACTACTGCACTGGTAGTAAAGAGACAAAACAATGTCTGTGGACCAGGCGGTATAAGAGACAGTGGACCGCTAGGATTTGTTGGTAGCAATCAAAATATATAGAGGGTATATTAGTCCTAACGCTGGCTTTTTGGTAAAAAGTCTAAGTGCCTTCGAGGGCACCCCTTATTAAATGCCTATACTGCCTCTCTTGACCCCCCATACAAAACTGGTAGACAGAATACAGGACTAAAAAGAACAGATGCCTAGATGTAAAAGCAAGTTCGCTGGTGAGATCGCGGCTGTGTAAATACAACAGCAGACCTGTAGCTGACTAGGCGTCCTAAGCCCCTGACGCGCGCGTTTCGTCTGGGTTACTCATCAGAGGGGAACTGAAGACAATTGAGTATTGTTTTTTTATATGGGAGGATAACCAATAAGGCTAGGGGGGGGAAGAGCTTTAGTTACCTCACTGCTGGTTATTAACCCTAGAGATACTTAGGAGTTAATAAAAAGGGATAAGGATCATTAAAGATAAAAATGAAAAGAATAACAATAATAATAAAAAATAGAGAATGATCTGGCCATATAAGATGTGTGCCGGTTGTCAGCCAAAGACACGTAGTGCGGATCTCATGGACAGCATTAAATATCCATGAAGATCTTCAAGGTTAATGAAAATGGCTGAAATGAGAAAACCTAATAAAGACAACCAGACAGTTCTCAACCTATATCAATTGATGATACAGTAATCTGTTATGTAACAAAATTGACATAGGGAATAATTTAAACAAGAAAAAGGTGGAAAATAAATATAGAAAATAAAATAAACGGGCCATTTAGAATATGTGAGGGTTTACAGCCTAGGATTAATAGCTATTCACTAAGTAAATAGAGTGCTAATCTCATAGGATATTCACTAAATAAATGGAGTACAAATCTCATGGGCAGTATTTCAAACATACTGCCCATGGAAATATGGTCATAGCTGTGACATATACTAAAAGTTGAATGAAAAGAGAAAGCCTAGTGGAAAATACATTATATGTCTACTAAGTTATAGATGTGATAGAATGACTAAAAGAAATAAACTAGAAAAGAAGAAGGTTCAGAAAACATATAATATGGAGAAGACACCCCATAGTAAATGATCTAGACAGTTAAGATGGCGTTTTTAATAGG